CTTAAAGGCCGGTGTCTTGAAATTTTTCTGTGTATCCCTGCTGCAACACACCTGGACAAAATTGTAGATCATTATCAAAACTCTATGGAATGTAACTGCATGCTCAGGTGGCAATTCAGCCATTTTATTCATGTTACAGCTGTAAATGACCTCATTAATATTTTGTCAATATGGAGAGCAGACTTTATCACAGTAGATAATAATGTGTATGTGTTAGTCCCCATAGGGAAATTACTCCTCTGCATTTAACCCATTCACCCATTGAAGCAGTGGGCAGCCACCAATGCAGCGCCCGGGGAGCAGTGTGTAGGTACCTTGCTCAGGGGTACCTCAGGGTAGCTGTTCAGTGGAGTCGAACCCCCGACCCTCCGATCTTGGGGCAACCACTCTACCTGCTGAGCTATCCCTGCCCTTTTTTTTAAAAAAATAATAATGTAATTAATTAATTAATCATTAATGATGTAATGTAATAATGTAGATGTCTTTCTGAAAGCGCTGTAACTAAGTTTAAGAATATAATCCACCCACTGTTATCATCTTCAATGCCGTGTACCAACATAGAGCATTAACTGCTGTATAATGCCCTCCGCTATCTTACTTTAATTGGTCACATGACTAAAATGTGTCATCTTTTTCGAAAAGGCTCCGGGTTTGCTGTCCACACTGCGACGCAAAAACTGCATTTTCATATGTATCTGCCTTGGAGAGTGTTTTCAAAACGCTGCATTTTCCTTGACTGAAAACACCGTCACAGCGTGGATGGAAGGCCAAAGCCGAGAGAAAAAGATGTGTTTTCAAACAAAAACATATTAGTATGGACATGGCCTTACATGGGCAGCATGTTGGTGCAGCAGTCAGGATTGTTGCCTACTGGTTCAAACCCACCGGCCAGGTGGGGCCTTTCTATGTTCTCCCTGTCCAGGTTTTCACCAAATTCCTCCCACAGACCAAAGAAATGCAAGTTAGGTTAATTTGTGATCCTAAATTGAGTGTGAAGTGTTAGCTTCATGATAGACAGGCGACCTGTCCAGTTGTGTTTGCGCTGCGACAGCTGGAATAGGCTCTAGTCTCCCCACAATGCCTGAACTAAGGATGAAGCTAGATGGATGATACTCTTGAGTAACACCATCAACAGCTCAGAATCATGCAGGCCAATCTTTCTACCGTTTCAAACAAATTATTCTCTAATCTCAGGCCTCAATAAAATCTAGAAACATTTCCAGGATATTAAACTGAGAATGGTTTTTCACTGTTAGCATGTATGTGTAAGTTAAACTATGAATCTTATCCGGTTTGAAATGATAAAAATCCTTCAAGTGTTGTGAGAACCTTCCCTGCCAGCTTGTTTTTTGAAGTCACATATGTTAGATTTTTATCAAATTACTCTCCTAACCTTCAGTGTGTATTTTCAAAATACTATTCCTTTAAAAATGAAATGTTATCTACCCTCCATCCTTATTTTTTTTTTATCATTTTAGGGGATTTAAGGAGTAATAAGTACACATTCATGTGAAAACCACGCAACACACTGAATGCTACATAACAATGTTTTTTGTATTTTTCCCCCTCTCATCATCTGGGAGCTCGCATTTTCTTACGCTCAGTTTCACTGGCAGGAAAAAGCTGTTCTACATTTTACTGCAAGTGTTTCACTGATGGTCAAACACACCTCTGAATCATGTTGTGCAGGAAGCGACGGTGGTTGACCTGCCGCTTGGATGGTCGGTTCTTCTTGGGTTTCTGCAGGGTCCTCATCATGTGACCTGCTGCTGAAGTTACAAAGGTGTACAGGTCACGACCCCAGGGGACCCCTCGCTCCAACCCAGGCTCAAGACTCGCAGAGATAGACGGTCGCATGCCTGAGAAACATACATTTAGTGGAGATTTAGGAGAGTCAGGAGTCACTGACTTAAAGTGGAATAAACGTCCATTTATATAACATAAATGCTCCAGCAGAGTCTTCTTGAGTTTAAAGGATGGAGAGCAGAACAGATCCTGATCAGAGGAGCTCAGACAGGTGCTAACCATAAAGGTGCTGTATACCCGTAAGGCAGGTAGAGCTCTAAAAGTAATCAGAGTAATCTTGAACTGAATCCTGCATTTCCTAACAGACGAGAAACAATAACAGAAGGAGTAAATTTCTCTTGTACTTAAATAAAATATAATCTGCCTTCACTATATCTAAAAGTATTTATTCTGCACAGGAAAAAAATGATCTTATTATTTCTCAAAATTAATATTACTGTTCTGAGGAACTGTGACATGAGGAGTAAATGGTCTGGTACTTGCACCTTTCTACTCAATTTTAGGATTTTTTTATTAAGATTATATGACTTATCCATTATAGTCTTATTTACCCAACTAACACATACACACACATTCGTACAGCACTTTTATCTCTGCCTTTGTGTTTTCTAACATTTACACTCAGCGTCTTGCTCAAGGATACTTTGACATGTACACTGGAATAGCTGGGGATCGTTAAACCGACTTTCTGATTGGTAGACAACACACCCTACTGCCTGAGCCATGCCTTAAAAAGTCAAAAGTCTAAAAGCCTGGCTGCCACAAATTTTAACCCCAACTATAACGCAAAAAACAAAGAAATGTGCAGTCAGACTAATTGCAGTGCATCTGTAAAGCAATAGAAGGGGAGTTAAAAGTTCAACACTTCGCTGTGAATGTATGTTTAGTACAAGTAAAGTACCCAAAAGTGTACATAGTCAATTTCCACCAACTAGGAAATCACTATAAAGAAATCAAGCCCCAATTTTCATAAGATGAACATATAGGAAGTGATCAGGATGAATGATTATTAAAAAAGATTAAATGATTAAATGATGAGAAAAGACAAACTGCAGGCAAAAATCACCGATTAAGCAATAAGTGTTTATATAAACCTGTTTGTAAAGGCTGTAACTCATATTTATTATAACATAACAACAAAATGTCAAAAACGCTGTTACAGCTAATGTGTTGTACTGTGGAAACAGCAGATCTACATAACTTATAATTATATAAAAATATATAAAAATAACTGCAAAAGCCTGCTTACCGTTTTGTCTCCAGGTTTCTGTGTATCTCTCTACAAACTGCACTGAAGGCTGAGGAGGCGTGCTGCAGTAATTCAGCTGTTAATGCATGTGTGTGCATGTATTGTGGACTGATGTGTGCACAAATTAAGCAGAGTGACATCAGCGGTCAATGCAAATGCATTTTTCCCAGGCAGTCTGAAAGGAATCTGCTTTGACAAATTGATAACGGGAGAGGAAGTGAGACATGATGAGAGGGTCTGAAAAGAAAAGGGCAATTATCTGAGAAGTCAACCACTTGTAGAAGTGTGGGCACACGCCTCCATTGTGTGGCTTTCTGAAAGCAGCTTGTTAAATACTGCGAGACACTAACGCTTGAGTTCAGGGTTAACAAGCACTTAATTGACCAGTTTAAACTCTGGCCCTAATTATCACATTCTCAGTGGGAAGATCTAGGATGGTTGCTAGCTGCTTTTAATTGACCTTTACGATTCAAAAGGACACCTTCCAAGTTCAACATTTTGCATATCTATGGCAGCAGGTGTGTGGCTAGGCTTTATTTTATTTATTTTTTTTACACAGATGTGAAAATACATTTAACTTTACAAAGTGATTTTAAGGTTACGATTATTAACTTTTCTCTTCTTTGCAGCTCACCGTTATTGTTAATTTTCTAGATGTGAGCGCAACATGCAAATCCAACACAACACACAACAAAAATTCAAATAAGGAGTAGGAATTTGTCTGTCTACATTTGACATAGACAGTCAAGTTACTTTTTGGTATCTTTTACCTAAAAGTAACTTGGTAAAAAGTTGTCAACTTATTTCCTTTCCAGCCAAAAAACTGCCACATTCATTCTCAGAAATGAATTTCTTTTTTAGAGTCAGAATTGGTGTAAAGAACACGGAAGCATGGCTCCATCAAGCCTTTTATCAACAGTTTAGGATGGTCGTGGTTGGGTTAAGGTGTGAGGAACTTCTTCAGCACACTATAGGCCTGTTAGTACCAATTAAGCATAATTTAAGCACCACATCTTACTTGAGCATTGTTGCTGGCGTGTCCATCTCTTTATAACCACAATGTGCCAATCTTCTGATAGACAACACACCATGTCACAAATTTCAAATCATCTCAAGCTGTTTTGTTTTTTTTTCATAAATAGTTCACTGTACTCCAATGGCCTCCACAGTCACCAGAATTCAATCCAGTTGCAGTTCCTCACATTTGGAGTGAGGCAGAATGGGAGACCCACACTGGGAAATCAGATAAAATCTGCAGCAGCTGTGTGATGCTGTTGTGTCAACATGGACCAAAAGTTTTGAGTGTGAGGTTTGTTCCCAGCACCTTGTTGAATCTCTGACATAAAAAAAATGAAGCAATTCTGATAGTAAAAGGCATCCAACCTGCTTTTCCTGAGGTGTACCTAACAAATTACTTTTACTTTATATTACTCAAGTGAAATATCCACCCAGCTTCTTAATCTGTACTGACAAGTTTGCAGATCTTTTGTCTTTTCACTAAATAAACCAAGAAAATGTGTTTAAGCATGTTAAACAAAACACATTTTAACCAATGACCTTCAGAGCTAAACGAGCAAAAACATTCAATATATACTAATACAGCACAAGTAAAAGCAAAAATCACCCAATGCAGGTGAGATCCTGATATGCAGAGGCAAAATTTAGGAGCAATTAATGCAATGGCATCGTCTCATTTATGCTTTCATTTGGCTGTTGGGACACAGAGTAACTACTCGGAAGATGTCAGTGATTTTGTGAGAATGTTCACAGTAAAAACAAAACAAAATACATAAGTGAGAGGTGCAAATTAATTCACTTACTTCAAAAGAAGCCATAAAATCTTGAAAATTGCTTCTATCCGATTTCGGCGCCTTTTCAAAGCCAAGCGGTTAACTCAGAGAAGGGAATCGCTGCTGCAGGAGTGGCATCTATTTATAGTGACACTACATGTGCTTCGGGCCCAAGGGTGCACAGCTCTGGTGTGGTTACAAGGAATAGCGTGGTAAGTCATAGTGTGTTAGAGATTAGAGATTTTCTTACCAGGATTTGCTTACATAGTGACATTACACGATGAGTGCAATGAGTACATTCAACTGTCGTTATCAAATCTGCATGCACATACATTCAGCTGTTTAAGCTTTACAGCATGAGTTTGTTAGTGTGTGTTCAGTCAAGTCTCACGCTTCACATGTTGTGCTTTCTCACAGTCCTCTCCAGGGGGATGATAAGGCTTTATCACACATGCCCTGCAACAGGAGCAGAACTTTGACCCTGTGAGATCTCGTCACATGTAGATTTGCCTCTGCTGATGATCGTCTTTGTCCAGAGAAATGTAGTTTGTGTCTTTTTGGCTTTGGGGAGACTCAGAAGAGTGTGAGAGGAGCAACACTGAAAGGTAAGTCTGGATATTTTAGGGGATCACTAATCATAGCCTGGCCCTTATGCTGCTGAATTTCCTCACCCACTGTTTTTCAACCTTCAGTGAACGGCTTTCCTAACTTGGGAAAATGTCGAGCTTTAATGCTCTCTCTTATCAGATTCCTCACTATGAAGTGGGTCTGGGCTGTGTTCAAAGCTCGCCCGTACATCAGTAACATCCTGGGATACACAGCCCTGTTCGCCTCTGCTGACCTCGTACAGCAGAGCGTGCTGGGTGAGAAACCAGCAACAGGATCCACATCGGAGGATTTAGTAGGAGTCGACTGGCATCAGACGGCTCGAGTGGCGACCGTCGGTTTTTGTTTCCACGCCAACTTCAACTATCACTGGCTCAGAGGGCTGGAGAAGATGCTGCCAGGAGGCGGAGTAAAGGCAGTAACTGGGAAGGTGGTGGTGGACCAGCTGATTGCGGCTCCTCTCACCATCAGTGCCTTTTACATTGGTATGTGATTCTAGTTTTGACTTTTACAGCTATTTGTGAACCTCCAGCAGGAGCCTGTGATCAACACCTGATGGCTGTGCATCATACAAGTTTGACATCTAAAGATGGCAGAGCTTTTGGAAGACTGGTTCCTAGACTCTGAGTTTTTAAAAAGCAACTAAAAACTTATATTTTCTTTATGTCTTTATGTTTTTACCCCATTGGATGTGACACAATTTGTAATATTTATCTTGAAAGGTACTATATATATATTTTTTTATTTTTATTTTTTTTATTAATATAAGTTTTTTGTGTAAAGAAAATCCCCATGATCTAAGACAGAGTTCAACCAGTCAGGCTTCAGATAGACATCTACATTGTTTTACTGTTTTATTGGATGTTTTTCACAGTCAGTATGAATCTGCTGACCATGCAACTGCACCATACCACT